ACCCTTTACAGGTAAAAGGATTTTGGTGCCTCTGTCCAGGAGGGATTTTATAGTATTGTATACAGGAGGGTTGTTACCCTGACAATATTCAATTAACCTGCTTATTCAAGAATCTCGTTGCAAAGCAATCTGGGAACATCCATCAATGAGACAACTTGGGCTTTATTCAGGAATGTGTGGTTTAGATGGACAGGAATGGGAAGTAATTTTCTATTTGAGTTTTGACTGCTCAGAATTAGGTGGGGATGCTTTCATCCTCAGGACGCTCATACAGTTTTGCTACATCGCCAGGTAGATATGAAATAAAGCTGTTTTGAAAATGATTTACTGCATAGTCCCACTTATATTACAAAATTGCATAAGCGTCCTGGCCAATGGGAGTTGGGGGTGGAGGGCAGTGCCTGCAGGAGAGAGTCGCGTGGAGCCAATTGCGTGCCTCCGCCTAGGAGGTGGACCTGCTGCTGGTCGCTTCTGGGGCACAGAACAGTTCGCGGTGCCAGGACAGGCAGGAAGCCTGTCCTGGCATCCCCACTGCACCGCTGACCGGGAGCCGCCTCATGTAAGCCCGTGCCCCAATTCTCTGCCAGGCCTGAGCAGCTGAGGGGAGGATAATTTTGTTCAATCCGTGGCAACTGAGGATGTAGAGAAGGAAAGATTTGCAAGGGAACATGCTCTGTTTTTGCCATGTGCACTTTAAGCTACTGGCAGGGAATCCAAACGGGAGTTTTGTGAGTTGTCGATATAACGATCACATCCAAAGCTGTGAGAGCAGATAGGATCCCAAAGACAGGTGCACAAGAAAAAGAGGGTGGGCCAAGGCGAGAATCCTGGCAGATTCTCACTGATGGGATGGGGCTCGGGGAAAGTTAGAGGATCCCCCAAACCAGACCTGAAAGTACAAGATGGAAGAGTGTGGAGGAAAACTGTGAGAGGATGGAGTGACAAAAGCCAGCAGATGATGGGATTAAAAGAAGTAAAAATGCTTGATGGTGTCCAAGGCACTGAGAGGTCAAGGAGAATGGGGTGGGGTAGAGGCCCTGGGAATTGTGTGAGACTTCAATAAAGTGGAGAGGGTGGACACAGACTGGGGAGGGTCACAAGGTTGCAGTTGAAAAAGACAACCGTGCAGTGGTTGTAAACAGAATGTTCACTAAGGCCTTGGCTACACTTACCCGCTAGTTCGACGGCTGGAAATCGAACTTCTG